GTTCTGACTGCTAGTTTATTATGCAAATGAACAGCATTAGTCCAAGCAGTTCTCCTTGTGGGACACCATTTGCAATCTTCTCCCACTTTATGTACCTACCTTTAACCTTCTAATCTCAAATTTTTGTTTTCTAACCAGCTTGCTATGCATTCTGCTATCTGGCCTCCAATTCTATATTCTATAAGGTCCTGACCTGAGACACAAAACTACTATACTGTACCTTATCAAAGATCTTTTGAAGATGCAGGTATATTACATCTTTGAACTATACCTGTGTACCATGCTGTTGCTTCTTCAAAGATTCAATAAGGTTGTTCAAGCATGACCACCCCTTTCAGAATCTGTGCTGACTACTCCATTAAATTTTCAGTTTCTAGATGTCATTCTATTACATCTTTGTGTAAAGATTCTATTATCTTTACTACCACTGGCATTAAGCTGACTGGTTTATAGTTTCTTGGACTTATTCTGTCTTCCTTTTGAAACATAAAAATAATGCCAGCTCTCCAGTGTCATAGTTATAGACTCATACAGCACAGAAACAGACCTTTCACCTCTGGCACTATTCTTTTCCCTAGTTTTTAAAAGTGTGAATAGTATAGTGCTTTTCCTACTTCATGCTTCTTTTAGTATGCAAGGATACAATCCATTAGGACCCTACAGTTTACCTGTTCTCAATTGGACCAGATTGCTAATGATCTCTTCCATTTCTGCCTTAAATGTCCTGATTTTAAATCCATTTTCTTGCTTGTTGTGTCCATCCTGTTAGTTCCCATAGTAAGTACTAAGGTAAAGTATTTGCAGTGGAAGTACTGATTGACATGCTAGCTGATTGCTTAGACTGTATTGATTAGCTTTCTCCTTAAAATGCCTGCTTGGCAGTGGCAGGTCTTGCATTTCTCAAACAGATGGGATTGGGATCAAACTCCCCAGCACGACTTGAGAATATAGGCTAGAATGTTAGCTCTGGCAATACTGAGATATTAAAGCTGACGTCCCAGCTTGTTATCCAGAAATCTATTAAAGACCCCTCATGTTCTTTGACCACAACTCCACACCCGCCTCAGTTTGTCAGTTGTTGAAACCTTTCACCTCTAGACTTGGCTACACCACATTTCTCCTAACTGGAGACTAGCAAATGTTGTCCCCTTGTTCAAGGAGAGTAGAGACAACCCTGGTAATTATAGACCAGTGAGCCTTACTTCGGTTGTGGGTAAAGTGTTGGAAAGGATTATAAGAGATAGGATTTATAATCATCTAGAAAGGAATAATTTGATTAGGGATAGTCAACACGGTTTTGTGAAAGGTAGGTCATGCCTCACAAAGCTTATTGAGTTCTTTGAGAAGGTGACCAAACAGGTGGATGAGGGTAAAGCGGTTGATGTGGTGTATATGGATTTCAGTAAAGCGTTTGATAAGGTTCCCCATGGTAGGCTATTGCAGAAAATACAGAGGCATGGGATTGAGGGTGATTTAGCGGTTTGGATCAGAAATTGGCTAGCTGTAAGAAGACAGAGGATGGTTGTTGATGGGAAATGTTCATCCTGGAGTTCAGTTACTAGTGGTGTACCTCAAGGATCTGTTTTGGGGCCACTGCTGTTTGTCATTTTTATAAATGACCTAGATGAGGGCGTAGACGGATGGGTTAGTAAATTTGCGGATGACACCAAAGTCAGTGGAGTTGTGGATAGTGCGGAAGGATGTTGCAGGTTACAGAGGGACATAGATAAGCTGCAGAGCTGGGCTGAGAGGTGGCAAATGGAGTTTAATGTGGAAAAGTGTGAGGTGATTCACTTTGGAAGGAGTAACAGGAATACAGAGTACTGGGCTAATGGTAAGATTCTTGGTAGTGTGGATGAGCAGAGAGATCTCGGTGTCCATGTGCATAGATCCCTGAAAGTTGCCACCCAGGTTGATAGGGACGTTAAGAAGGTGTACGGTGTGTTAGGTTTTATTGGTAGAGAATTTGAGTTTCGGAGCCATGAGGTCATGTTGCAGCTGTACAAAACTCTGGTGCGGCCGCACTTGGAGTATTGCGTACAGTTCTGGTCACTGCATTATAGGAAGGATGTGGAAGCATTGGAAAGGGTGCAGAGGAGATTTACCAGGATGTTGCCTGGTATGGAGGGAAGGTCTTATGAGGAAAGGCTGAGGGACTTGAGGCTGTTTTCGTTAGAGAGAAGAAGGTTAAGAGGTGACTTAATAGAGACATACAAGATGATCAGAGGATTAGATAAGGTGGACAGTGGAAGCCTTTTTCCTCAGATGGTGGTGGCTAGCACGAGGGGACATAGCTTTAAATTGAGGGGTGATAGATATAGGACAGATGTCAGAGGTAGGTTCTTTACTCAGAGAGTAGTAAGGGCGTGGAATGCCCTGCCTGCAAAAGTAGTGGACTTGCCAACTTTAAGGGCATTTAAATGGTCATTGGATAAACATATGGATGATAATGGAATAGTTTAGGTTAGATGGGCTTCAGATTGGTTTCACAGGTCGGCGCAACATCGGGGACCGAAGGGCCTGTATTGCGCTGTAATGTTCTATGTTCTATGTTCTAACCAACCTGCACCTTCCACCAAAACAGAAGTCAACCTCATCCAAAGCTCTGCTCCTTGTACCCTAACTTGCACCAAGTCCCATTCATTCTACACCCCTGTGCCCAGCAACCTACACTGGATTCCATTATAGCAAGGCCTTGTTGTCAAATACTTCCATAATCTTGCCCATTTCTAGCTCTGTAACATTCCCTAGCCCCACAACCCTCCTTGATTCTGTGATCATTCAATTTTAGCCTCTTGTACATCCCACCATTGACAGCCATGACTTCAACAACCTGGGCTCTAAGCTCTGTCCCTCTATTTCCTTTGTACCTTTGCCTTTGACAAAACTCTAAATCTACTCTAATATCTCATTATGTAATTTGGGATCAAATTTTGTCTCATCACACTCTTGTAATGTGTCTTAGGATTTTTTTATGTTAAAGGTATGATGTAAATGTATCAAATAAAAGCAAAATACTCCAGATGCTGGAAACCTGAAATTGAAAGGCAAAATGCTGGAGAAACTTGGCGGGTCTGGCAACAAGACAGCAAAGACATTATAATTTACACACTTGTTAAAATTTAGAGAAATGAACGGTGCCAAAGACTGTTGGACAGCTAGCACAAATTTTATGTTTCAAAAGGAAGATAGAAACAGAGTTAACATTTTGAGTCCAATGTGAGTCTTCTTTGGGACAGTTATAGATTCATAGAGTCATTGAGATGTACAGCACGGAAACAGACCCTTCAGTACAACTCGTCCATGCCGACCAGATATCTAAATTAATCTAGTCCCATTTGCCAGCTTTTAGCCCATATCCCTCTAAACCCCTTCCTATTCATATACCTATCCAGATACCTGTTAAGTGTTGTGTTTGTAGCAGCCTCTGGCAGCTCATTCCATACACGCACCACCCTCTGTGTGAAAATGTTGGATCTTACATCCCTTTTAAATCTTTCCCCTCTCACCTTAAACCTATGCCCTCTAGTTTTGGACTCTCCCACCCCAGGGAAAAGACTTTATCTGTTTAATGGTATCCGTCTTGAAACATTAACTCTGTTTCGCTCTCCACAGATGTTGCCAGACCTGCTGAGTTTCTCAAGCATTTTCTCTCTATATATAAATGTACATTGTTGTTGTTATTTTTCAGGGCACGGATTACCAAATTAGGTCCAAAGATCTCTGAAGGGACCACTGCCTCACTAATGCCCCTATTCACTGTTCTATCACCCCCAACAACTCATTCCCCTTCATGGGAGTCACATTCCTCTGTAGTGGCAAGACCAAACATAGGCGAGATGACTGCTTTGCAGAATACCTCCACTCAGTCCACAAGAATGATCCTGATCTTCCCCTCACTTGCCATTTCAACATGATATCTTGCTCTCTTGTTGTTTAGCTCAGTTGGCTGGACCATTGCTTTGCAGTGTAGACATGAACTGCATGGGTGTAATTCCTGTACTGATGGAAATTACCACAAAGGCCCTGCCTTCTCAACCTCACCCCTCTCTTCAGGTGTGGTAACAGTGGGATTAAACTCACCGCAATGGGGCTCTTGTGGCTGTGAGCCAGGAAGCCTAGGATAAAGTTCCACCTCCTCCAGCGGTGTGTCATAACATCTCTGGACAACTTGATTAGAAATGTCTAAACTCACCAGTCATGACTTCCCTATCATGGGAGAGTGGACTGTGGTGAGCTTTACTTACAATTTATTCACATCTCTGTCCCAGCAAGACTGCAGAGACAGGAATGAGATGAATCGCAAGCTAATCTTATTCTTTTAAACATGCGTTGCTTGAAAGATAAATTTCTAGCCATGGCTCTCTTCTCTTTCTGCTCGCTCACCTGGGATTCTGCACCTAGATCTGGAGCAGGCATTCGAATTTGAAACCTTCAAACTCAGAAGTGACCAGGCCAGGCAGCCACAACTGGATGAGGTTTGGAGATGAACCTGATGGGCCGACAGGCTTGGAAGGATTCCAGATATTGCTTTGGTGGGGGAGGAGGAGGATGGAGGACCAATCTGTTTAAGGACCAGAGCGGTTGTTGTCTGTTTGCAACACATCAGGTACTGGAGCAGGCAGAAATTGTGATGTCACTGTCAAGGGGGTGAAGAGTGAAGGGGCTACTTGGTAAAATGGGACACAGAGCCCTGGAACAGGGAATGTGTAGTACCTATCATTCCCACTAGATAGTGCCATCTCACTTTTATTTCCTTTCCCAGCTCCATCAATAGTGCAAAGTTTGCTGTTTCTTGCATCCTCCCCCCTGCAAGCCCTGATTTGTGGGTTGGGCTGACTGATGATTGGCCGGGTTGGAAGAAATGAGAGGCTGCGATTGGAAGGGGTTTGGTACTCGGGGGGTTGGGTCTGGTATCCCCTCCTCTCCCGACCCCTTCCACATCCAGCTCCCTGTGTCTGTGTGTGTATGTATGTTTGTGTGTGTGTGTAAGAGAGAGAGAGAGAGATAGATAGAGTACTCCGTGCTGATCGAGCCTGCAATGTGACTGTACAGAGAGACAGAGACTCGCGCTCCGCGTTCTGGAATATAACCAGCAGCAGGAAACCCTCCCCAAACCTTCCCCAACACCAGCCCGGGCAGGATCCAAAATTATGATTCCCATTCTCATCCTCTGCCTGCTGTCTGCAGTCGGTGCTGTGGAAGGTAACAACCGTCCCCATTCTCTGTCTCCTCTCTGAGATTTACCTCAGCTTGCAATTGTCCAGCTTGTTTTAAAACAAAACTTGCATGTTTAAAAGAAAAAAGTTGCAGTCGCCTCTCCCCATGTGTTTGCAAGGGGTGATAGAGTTTTTTTGTGAAAAAACGAAAGTAAAATGTGATATTTATTTGCAAATTGATGTTGGTTGCTCGACCCTCTCCCACACTGTTTCTTTCGCCGCTGCAATGCAGTGTGGCTTTTCCGATGGGACTGGGCTTTACAGTGCGCCAGCTGGATTGGCCTTGGCTGTTGTGGGTTTATCCTGTGATGGGACCCTCTCCTGTCGTGCGGCCCCGGCACTTTGCTGGGCGTCATTGGAGGGATAGCCATCATTGGATGACTTGGGGTATCAAAAAAAAGCTCATTCTTGTGGGTTGTGCTAAATGTTAACAACGATGCAGAAAGTGATGAAAATGTGTATCTAAAGTGCCTGTGTGTGTACCTGTGTGAGTGTGAATGTATGTATCTGTGTGTGTGGATGTGTGTGTATGGATGTGTGTGTGTATGTGTGTGGATGTGTGTAGCTGTGTGTGTGTGAACGTGTGTAGCTGTGTGTGAGTGGATGTGTCTCTGGGTGTGAATGTATAGCTGTGTGTGTGAATGTGTCTCTGGGTGTGAATGTGTAGCTGTGTGTGTGTGAATGTGTCTCTGTGTGTGAATGTATAGCTGTGTGTGTGTGAATGTGTGTGTGTGAATGTGTAGCTGTGTGTGTGTGAATGTGTGTGTGTGAATGTGTAG